TATTATTTTGGGAGGGGAGGAGCCTAGAATAATTTCTATTTTTCTTTCTTTTTCTTTGGTCATTCTTTAATCATCTCATTGATTTATTCAGTGATATTGTTCATTAAGTTTAAACTCATGAATTCCTACGACAAAGTGGATGAAATAGTCATTGCATTGGCTTTTAATCATTTCATTCACACTTGTTTTATTTTAAACAAAAGTTTGTTGACAATGTCATTGATACAGTATGGAGACTTGAACAATTATTAAAGTTTACAATATTTGATTTTGTACATGCAACACGTTGAGCTCAAGAATGTTAATTAATAAAAAAGCAAATGAAATTAAGTCATAAAGTATACGATTCTTCCACTCCTCCTATAGGGTAGCTTAGTTGTAATGTCTAACTTAATATTGGAAGGAATGGTTGCTTGAGAAGGGGTGCAATATTGTATTATTCTTCATGATTTTAGTAAGTTTATAACTCTATCCAAAAAAAAAAAAACAAAAAACAAAAAAAGGAACGTTTGTTTTTTAAGCAAACGATATTATTTACATTAAAGGAATTGAGAAGTGAACTAAATCTCACAATGAGTTAGCAATAAAGTAAAAATTAGCATTTGTTTTAAATTATTCCATTTCCATGTTTAGTTCATTAAATTTTCCGCCAAACAAATAGTAGAAGATTTTATTCTATTCTCAAAACTTAAAAATCTCAAGTTTGGATTCTTTCATCGTGATTGAAAAATTGAGAATTAAAATATCAAAACTAGGTGATTTTATCTCTTATATAAGTATTCGAATCTTGTTTATTTTTAGAGTGACGACGACCAATTTTTCTACTTATAATACTCCTGTCCCTCCTACGGGTAATTCATTTGTCCCTTCATTCTATATTAACGTATTGTTATCACATATAATCCGAACTGTTAATTCTTTTTAGCATCTTTTAATTTTTTTAATTTTTTTCACTTACTTTTTCTCGATGAATTACCTCATCTATCGCTTGTAGCCTATTATTTATTTACATACTTGAAATAAAAAAAAATTAGTATACTAACTGATGATATGTTTTCTTACTTGAAATGAAGTATAAATTATGAATCGACTAAAGTCCACGTGACGAATTTTAAACTCGTTACATACTTTCTTAATACTTCACGCCTCTATCTTAGTGTAAATATATCCTCGTATAAAAAAGAAGAAGAAAAAATAAATTAAAGATGAATGCATCAATTATATTGAAACTTTTTCTTTTGGGTGAAAAATTATCTAGAAACTTTAATGATTTAACATGATGTTAACGTGACAAATGCATGCAACAATGGGTCGGACTAATTACCAGAGTCTTAATTTCTTTAGTTGCATTGCCTTTCATTGATGAGAACATGGAGCAAGTGTCCTCACCTCTCCGACCACTTTGCCTAATCATATATGTAAGAATTATATTTTTCTTTTGGGGCCCCGGGGTGGGGGGTGTTAGCTTAATCATGGGTGCTTCAATCACTTATCACACTAGTAGAAAAATATGTTTGCGCGACCGAAACTTGCGCAAACATTTATTAGGGCAATTACTTAACCAAGTTAGAGATTTCTAGAGATCAAGTGGCAATAACTTTGGGAGAGGGGAAATCAAATTTGGTCAATTGAAACTAGTTGTTTTGTAAAACTTCTCTAGATTACAAGTAGAGAAATGTTCAGAAGACTCTCAAAAGTGGTATTTCTATGAATTCTTTGCCACTTCATATTTTTTGCACAATGTTTTATGATGTTGCCACAGAATTTGACGTTAAACTATGATGTGACAGAGAATCCCTTAACATTTCTTTTACAATTATTATCAATTTTTTGTTCAAGTCAACACATTTATTTCTTTCAAACAAGTGGATTCAAGCTAAAAGCCAAACTGTTAGCTACTCATAACAATTAGGTGTTAAGTTGTCATTAATAAGAATTGAACATATAACCTAAATTTATCGGTGGAAATGAATATCATTACACTATCAGGCTATTGAGAAGCTCTTCATTAATTAGTTTGTGGAGTTTTTAGCCAAAATGATTTATGAAACTAGCATAATTCCTGATTTTGTAGAGTTAAATTGTAACCACTAGTTCAAGTGGATGGTTGATTTGACAAAAATACCCTCAATTTAACAGAGATTTTCATGGAATGACCAAACTGATTGACGGTGGATAGTCTCAAAGACCACTTCTATCGATTTTAAACTATATCGCCAAATTGATGAGTTATGCCAATATCATGAACCATTTTAATTGAAAAACTTTAGTTTGTATTAAAATAACCTTTGCATGGTTACATTAACTTCGTCATGACAGTTCACTCTTACAGGAGCCGGAAAGACACACAAAGACATTTCAACTCTCTATGAGCATCATCGTGTGATTAACTAATGCCAAGAATCGAGTCTAAAACTTACTGTGTGAAATACGAACTTAAAATTCGTATACAGTATACAGCCACTCAACCACTCCAAAATGGCTGTAGCCATTATATTATCAGTGACCGCTAACTGCCTAGCATTAAGGTGAAATGACCGCGGGGCATGAATCGGATTAGATTGATTTGCCCCCAAATCACGACCAAACCAATTATAATATAACGTGTAGTCCGGTTTGGATTTTACAAAAATGTCTAAACAAAATCACGGTTTGGATTTTACAAAAATGTCTGAACAAAATCACCCAAACAAAATCAATGTTCAAGGGTTTGGGTGTACACCTAATCATTTTTTTCGACTTTGTCAGCCCAAAATACAACAAACAAACAAAATTTTCATAGTTTGCTTCGTATTCTGTTTTGGTAATCAATCATCGATTTCCATAAACCTCAAACTCAACCTTCTTATCTAGTTATTAGATAAATACACAATGAGAGGATTGCGCATGTAAAATAAAATAATATTAATAAATATGTACGTAATCGGTCTGCGGTTTACCAAAGTTCAAAACCATAATTAAACTAATTGATTAATGTTTGATTTTGCACCGTTTGAATTTTTCTTTGGTCACAGCTACAACTAAATTACTTAAGGGTTAGTTTGGAAAATGCTTTTAAATGATTTGGAAAGTTTTTAATAAAAATGGTTTTTAAAACAGCCCTTAAAAAAAAAAAGAGAATTTTAACGAAAAGTTCCCGTAGTATTCATTTTAATTAAAAATCATATTTTTACACTAAAAAGTCAATCATGATACTATTCATTTTACCCTTTATTTTGTCCTTATCATTAAACTCAAAGTTTTCAAACTATTTTCATTAGTTTTCCTTAAAGAAAAATGCAAGTTAATTTTGGTTAGAACCTAAAATATTTTTTTTAAAAACACTTTCAGTCATTTGAAGGCATTTTTCAAAAGAGTTCAAATTATGGTTAAATTTTTTCACTGTTTGAATTTTTCTTTGATCAAATATAATCTCACAATATTTTTCTTTCATTCAGAAGAAGTAATAAGGCAACATGACGTGTAGTGTAGAAGAAGTATATTTTGTTTGGTTTTGGAAGGGTTATAATTCCAAATTTATAAAAAGAAAGAGATTAGTTGAGCAAACAAAGCATATAACTCATCCGGTAAATATAGACGTCTTAGTACGAATTCTTTTACAAAACACAAAATGCGCATATCTGGTAAACTAATATTCACAAAAAAATCTAATAAATATTTTGATAAAAAAAAAAACTTATACTAGTGTCTTCTCGCTCTCCTAAATTGAGACATTTTAAATGTGAGTTGTTAGACTATTTTCAAAGGAGTGTCAAATTTTAAATGTAAATTTTAATTTTGAAGGTTTATGTGACACTTTATTTTTATTTTTTTTATTTTGTTCTCCATTCAATATGTCAAATTTAAACAATTATTTACTACATTACTACTTTCATAATTGTAACTAGTATTTGCCTACACACTTTGTGTTTGTGAACACATTTTTTTAGAAAATGAGAAGGAGAGAGGGGAGAGAGAGAGAGAGAACCTGGGAGGAGTGAGAGGTTTTGTTTTTATTTTATTTGTTAAATATTGGAGGTATTTTAACATCACTGGTAGGTGAGACTTCAATAAAAAACAATAAAATTACATTATTGCCCATCATTTTTTTTTTGTGTGATAGAAGATTAGGTTGTCTTTTCACTCTCTTTTGATTGACAAAGAGAGTTTCGTTAATTAATAGAGATAAGTATTTTTAAAACAAAAAATAATAAATAATGATGAAAAACATTTGTTTATCACTAAAAATAGATTTGAAGTAATTGTCAAATTTAACAACAACCACATTTGTTGTCAAACACATGCCACTTAGGAACTGATATTGTGGTTGGAAAACATTAATGCTCGTCTTTTTTTTGTTGTCATTATTGATGTGAATATTTTGACTTCTTCCTTAGAGATGCTCTTACAAAAACAAAATATACATATTTGAGATAGAAAAGTCAAAAAATTTGATAAAAAAGTATTTTAGTACAAGTAGATATGTAATTCTCCAAGGTACATGTATTTGAGATTTACAACAATCAAGAAATAAGAATTCGAATACAAATACATATGTATTAGTGAAATAATTTGATAAGAAGAACGAGGCAGCATATTATTATTAGCATATTCTCCCTCCCCATGATATTATCTCACTATTTTTCTTTTCTTCCTAATTTAATATTTATTTTCCTTTTAAAAAGTGAATAATTATTGGGAATACCGAATACGTCCACCCCCACTCGAGTCAAGTGAAAATAAAATATGCAGTCACAGGCCAAAAAGACAAAATTCCTCAAACACTGGAAATTAAATAATTTTCTTTTGTTTTTCCATTATTTTATTTCACAATAATTTCCATATAAAAATCCAAAATAAAAAAAAAAAATGGTAAATCTTGAGTTGACTCGGCGGCTCACGAATTTTCTGAGAAAATAAAGAAACCAGGAAAAAAAAAATCATATTTTCTTTAAATAAATACAAAAATGTGTATATTACTATATTATATAAAGAGATGAGGCATTATTATCAACTATTGTTAATATTTTTTTTTTTGTGGATACAGAAGCGGAAGCTGTCCTTACCTCTCTCTGTTTTCCTAAGGATCTGAGAGAGAAGCTTTTCTCTGTGTCTGCTTTGCTTCATAAGCAAAACACAAAGTCAGACACTTTCAGAGAGAGAGAGAGAGAGAGAGAGAGAGAGAGAGGAGAGAAAGAGAGGTTCTTTCTTCTTCCAGCCTCTTAGCTTTTTTGTTTGTAATTTTGTTTGCCCTTTTGCACTTTCAAAACTTTGTTGTACTCTGAATTTCAGAAACATATATATAATAATTGACTCTCTGACTCTCATTGTGTAACATCTCGCTCTATATATGTATATGTTTGTATATGTGCTGTGTGTAAATTTTGAGGTTTTGGGCGGTGAGGGAGTTGGGTTTTGAAATTTTAAAGTTCTACACAGAGGTTTTGAAAGCAAGAGGCTTTTTGGCCCGGGCTTGTTGAGGCTCGGATTGATCCGAAATCATGAACTCCGAGACAGGGCAGCTGCCACCTAACCGGGTCGACCCGGAACAACCCAGTTCTTGCTTTTTGCAGAAGTTCAAGCTCTACGAAACTCGCTCGGTACTGTGTTTTTGTTACATATAATGTTTATGTTTATTGGTTTTTAAGATTTGATCTGTTTTTAATTTGAAGGAATGCATGATATGAATTTTGCTATAGCTTGATTTGACTTGAAGGAGGATGCTTTTGGACTCATTCAATTAAATTTTGGCACAAATATTTGAGATTTGAACAGTTTTCAAGTTTTGCTTTTGATTGCAACAACAACAATAAAGCATTTTTCTCACTAAGTGGGGTTGGCTGTACGTATAAATCATAGAACGCCATTGCGCTGATTGCAAAGATCCTAATTTTAGTCAACTTCATGATTTGGGTTTGTAATATTAGTTGGTTTGTGTTCTTATACATTGGCCTTTAGCGTTGCGAATTTCTTGACATGTTTTGGTATTGAATCTGCTAGTTTCTTGTACTGCATCAGGACTCAGGAGTCTTATACCTGCTGTCAATCTAAATTTGTTTCATTATTGGATATTCGGGGCAATTAAACTTGAATATTTTCCTTATGATATCCTTCCATTCCTGTTTGATTTGGAAATCTCGTGTATTTTCAACTCTTTTGGAGAGAAAGTGGATGTTAATGGATTTGGTTGTTGAAAGCTGTCTATTTGTTGCTCTCATTTTAGGAACATAGAAAAAGTAGTGTGTCAATTCGTTGCTCGGTTTGTTTGTTTCACCTCTTTGTTGTGTCCAATAGTTGAGCCTACCGATTATTAATGACGCTTTTGTATGCAACAGAATTTTTATTTGATAGGAAGGGACAAATGCAGAACCTTTTGGAGGATTTTAAAGATTGACAGATTGGATCAATCGGAGTTAAACATTCTTGAAGATCCTGCAACATACTCGGATAATGAGTGCTACGACCTCCTGAAACGGATACATGAAGGAAACAAGTCGATGGGTGGACTTATATTTATCACTGTTTGTTACGGTATTGTTGGTAAGACTTCTTTGCATGGTTTTATACCTTTGCACATCTTTTGTGTTCTTAATTTAAAATCTAAAGATATTTTCTTCTGATTTTAGGGTTCGTGAAATTTTTGGGACCTTATTACATGATACTTATTACTAAAAGAAGGAAAATTGGTGCAATTTGTGGCCATACGATCTATGCAATTTCCAAGAGCGAGATGATTCCAGTTCCAAACCCTGCCGTGCGGTCAAAATTGGCCAATTCTAAGAATGATGAGAACAGGTCTTTTGTCCATTTTGCATGTAAATGTAATATGTACGTTGGTACTTCTAAAGCGATTTAAGAGAGTAGTATTCATAATTTAAATTGCCAATTTGTGTATCTATAAGAATCGTGCCATGGTGTTACGTTATTTAGGTTTCAATTAACTTGGCTAGTATGGCTAGTATAGTAATAGAAAGTTCTTCACTGTGGAGGTAATCTCTGTACTCCATTGTCAATAGTTAATACACCCTTCAATGCGAAATTAATGATGTGGAACTTCTCGATTCAGACTTGGTTCTTGTTCTTCGGCTACCTTAGCTTGTCTTTGCTAAGATAAGGCAAATAATGAATCTTATAGACTATTGATTTGGCAAGTATGCAATCTCATTTGTTAGATCCTTTGCTTTTAATTCTGCTTTTTAGGGGCTTTTCCCACCTGCCTTTCCAGGTTCATTTCCTGCAATATGCAGGGGCAAACTTCATTGCCGTTATGATGTAAATATAGTGAGGCAAGGTATCATCAGGTTTTTCGCGGGGAAATCACTTTCCTTTTCTTCTTTTTTCCCCTTTTTGGTTAATATCTTTACTTCAAATAGTTGTTTCATCAGTATTTTTTTTCGATTTGTTTAAATTATTAGGTTAATAATTTATGTACATTACTCCTTGTTTTCCTTTTCTTGTTGACATAGATACAAGAAGCTCCTATGCTCGGTGGACCTCACAAAGGACTTCTTTTTCAGCTATTCATACAATGTTATGTCTAGTCTACAAAAGAACTTATGTGATAATCAGACAGGACCTCCCCTTTATGAAACAATGTTTGTTTGGAATGAGTATTTGACGCGTGGAATCCGATATTGTCTGAAGAATACTCTATGGACAGTTGCCTTAGTGTATGGATTCTTTAAACAGGTCAGAACACTACATCCTTTATTGGCACTACTTATGACTAGAAATTTAATGATCGCTTGCCAGAATTTTTTTGCAATTTAGCTCTCTAAGCTTATTATTACTTCCCTTTAAGTTGGGAGTATATGTTTTCTATTTCTTAAGATACACAAACAGTATTGTTTGTGGTTAGTTGCATGGGCATCCCATGACTATGACCGTGTAGTGATTAACCCAGGATCTCATCCTTTATACACATTTTCTTGAGGAAATTTTATGCACATTTTTTGGTACTTCTTTGGTAATATTTTCAATGGCTTCATGCTTCGGTGTCCAGGTCGATCTTTCAGTATCTGGCAGGGATTTCAAGTTGACCCTCATTGCCAGACGTTCACGTCACTTTGCTGGCACCAGGTTCGGACACTGCTATTGCCTGTTTTCTGTAATAATTAATGGTTATACTATATTCTTTAGAAATATACATTTGCATGCCCGTCTCTGCAGATATCTAAAGCGAGGTGTAAATGAGAAAGGTAGAGTAGCTAATGATGTTGAGACAGAACAGCTTGTTATTGAAGATGCTCCTGAAGGACGCCCAGTGCGAATAAGTTCTGTTGTGCAGCACCGAGGCTCAATTCCCCTTTTCTGGTCCCAGGAAACCTCTCGACTAAATATCAAACCTGATATAATATGTATGACTCTGCGGAACCCACTCGTTTTATTCTCTGTGGTTATTATATATCCCACTGACATTCTATCTTTTGCTAGTATCAAGGAAGGATCATAATTACGAGGCCACAAGACTTCATTTTGAAAATCTTGTCCAGAGATATGGAGACCCAATAATTATTGTGAATCTGATTAAGGTAGCACTTGTTTATTTTACGGGCGTCAATGCTTCTTGTTTTTCTATCCTTGTATATAAATGCTAATCTAAACCTGATAATCCTTCCAACTCTCTTCCAATCTTTGTTCTTTCTATAATTGATCGTTCTTTCCAGACAAATGAGAAGAAGCCTCGAGAAACTATTCTCTGTGCAGAGTTTTCACATGCTATCAGATTTATTAATAGGAGTTTACCAAAAGAGAGCCGCCTGAGGTTTCTCCATTGGGATCTGCACCATCATGCCAGAAGGTACTTAACTTTCCCTTTTCCTATTATAGGTAGAACGAACATCTGTACTTAAAAGTACGGTTGGGATTAATTGAACCTGTGTAATTTTTCATGTACAGTAAAGCTACCAATGTATTGGGACATCTCGGAAAAGTGGCTGCATATGCATTGGGATTGACTGGACTCTTCTACTGTCAAGTAACCCCCAATCTAAGGCCTGTGGGATTATCTGGCTTTGAGTAAGTTCTTCTTGTCAAGATATTGCTTTTCGGCTTGGTATTCCTTGTTATATGCTTCGTTGTTCAGTAGTTTTATGTATCATTCTATACACTAGTAGGTGTTTTAAAGTATGCATGTATAGAACTACTTGCACACTATTTAAAGTGCTGACAACTTTGAGGTGATACAGGAAAAATGATGATGTCGATGACTGTTTGTCGCATAGCTGTTCAAGTAAAGATGAGGATGCTGATAGTCGAGAAACAGAGATTAGCAATGGCAGTGATGGGGATGATGCAAGCATGAATTGCAATGTCACATCCATGAGGTTTCAGAAAGGAGTCCTGAGGACCAATTGCATAGACTGTTTAGATCGCACAAACGTTGCCCAATATTGTTTTGGGTTAGTTGCTCTTGGACATCAGCTTCATGCTTTAGGATTTATAGAATCTCCAGATATTGATCTGGATAACCCTCTGGCTGAGGACTTGATGAGAGTTTATGAGACAATGGGAGATGTACTTGCACTACAATATGGTGGTTCTGCAGCTCATAACAAGGTAACCCTTCTAAACATTACCCGTAACAGAGAACTTAACGTGCATGCTTTTAGATCTCAACTTCCACTGCAGGTATCTAATAAATAAAAGTACGAAGAGCGTAATGGATTGAAATTGGGGAGATGGAAGTGGTAACTGTAACTAAATTACCTGGAAGTCATTTATTGTATCTTATATTTGTTTGCTGGTGGGTCCTCCCCTGTGAGATTCTGGATTTCAGTCTCTGTTAAATAGTTGGAACTCTGTGATGGTCACCTATTTTAGTAGGTGCCAGGCTCAAGGCAAGACCGGGGGACTTGATCCAGGTTTTAAAGAGGCAGTGTGACTACCCCGATTTTCCCTTACACCTTGGCCATATAAATGGCCTTATTGAGTTGGTTGATTATCATGTTTCTTGTTGGATTTTATTCTAATTCTTTTAACTTCGGCACCTGTTCACTGATTTTTTTCCTTGTTGACCTGAAACAGATATTCTCTGAGACTAGAGGCCAGTGGAAGGCAGCAACTCAGTCCCAGGAGTTCTTTAGAACTCTACAGCGGTTTTACAGTAATGCCTACGTGGACAGTGTGAAACAAGATGCTATTAATGTGTAAGTTCAATTGAGCCACTTTTATTTACAGGTTAATAGCTGTATTTGTTTTCTGCTCAAAAAGAAATCTTGAGGACCCTGCATATTGTACTTGATATACTTGGTCCGGTTCCGTTTGAGTAGTGTAAGCTAACAGGTGCACTATTTCACTATATAATTGTGCAGATTCCTAGGGTACTTTCAACCACAACCTGGTAAACGACAACTGTGGGAATTGAATTCAGATCAACACAACAATGTTGGGAGGTATGGTCCTAATTTTGCTGATGATAGTGTTATTGTATGAAATGTTATGTGTTCGTTCTTTGCAGTCGAAATAGGGAGACCACCATTGTAAGAAGAAAATATATACGCGCACACATATCAATGGAATACACATTTTATATGTGGGAGGTTCACTACTTATATCACCTAGCTCTTTTGTGATAAAACCCCACACCTAGTAATAGGTGGGTAGTGGGGATAATATCGGTGATTGTGGTGGGCTATGTTGGGCCTAAAAGGCTTTTCACTTTTAAGTTTGGGTATCTGATATCTCAGTGGATGATGTTTAGGGTTAAAACAATCCTCAGCTTATGGCTATGAGAATTATGTGTAAACTAACATTAAGGTTTCTTATTAACAAAAAAAAAAAAAAATTCGATAATGCAGTTTCTGTTTGTTTGATATTATCAAGAGGAATAAATAGCCTATGGCTTGCTCTACTAATGAGATTCAAGACGAATTTCTACATATGTAGGTCGTTTATCAAAAGGTCACTATCCGAGGGCCATATTCTTGGTGAAAGTGATTCACCTATGACAAGTACAGAAGTTGCGCAAAATCAACCTTTGTCTGAAATTGCACAAGGAAGTAACAGAGTGATTTCAGAGTCTGCACCAGCAATCTCAACTTGTGAAAGTGATATATCCGATTGCAGGTATGCTTGCGTTGCAATTCATGTACTTGTTTACCAAGAGAAGCTGTTGTAAACAATATCAGGTTTCTAATGGCCAAACAAAAACAGTTCTAGTTTTTCTAAGCCAATAAATTGAATGCTTGATCATCTTTATACAATAAATCCTTTTTCTGGTCTAATAATTGCTTTTGTAGGTTTACTCCCTCAATGCCTCGCAAGCAGATTTTTTGTGGGTTGCAAGAAGACAAATGCCTCCAGAGTGATCATATCATTTATGATGAACATGACGATGATTGCAACTTGTCAAATATTCTGGATGTGGACTGGTTGTCCTCGTCGGGAAATTCTTGTGAAGAAATATGTGGAAGGTACTTGTTCCTAGCCTCTCAAAATTAGCATGCAGATTAGACTTGCCAATATGTCATGTGAACTTTCAAGATTTGAGAACTGACAATTGATTGACAATAGGTCTATGACCAGCCTTTCATCGGAGAATCTTGTGAACGGACCAAAGGTTGAAACGAGAACATCTGCAAGTGAATCTGGATCCATGAGAAAGGTAAACTATTATCATCTTTTTGCTGGAGTTGGCATGAAATAGAGTACCATTTGCATTTATTTAGAAAAGATTATCAGATTTCCTGATGAAAAGATGGAAGAGTAGTTGGTTATACCATTCTGCTGCACTTGTGCAAGTAGACCTCCGTCATAGCATCCTTAGTTTCAGTGACCAATTGGCAATGGCTAGTTTGCTTAATAAAGTTAAGAGGAAAGGAGTTGGACCTAGGACTTTATCCATTGACGTTACGTATTCTTCAAATTTTAGTATTAGTTGGTTTCTGTTTCCACCGAGCCCGTATCTCCATTAGATGTTTTATAGACTTCCATATCCTTTTAGACGGTTTTAAATCTTGTCATCTTTGTACCCGTGTTACTCAATTGTTAATGTCTTTTATTTTTCCTGATTTACTAGGGAAAGGAGCAATGTGAATCGGAGGTCACTCGTGATAATATGACAACTCCGTATTCAGCGAGCTTCATGAGCTGGGTAGCTAATGGGGAGTTGCTGTTTCTTTGAAGCTAACTATAAGGTTTTGCGTCATAACTTTAACTCAACCCGTCCGAAGGATTTGGGTTCATGTACAGAAAATAAATGGTAAGAATATCATCAACCAAAAGAGCATAGTACTGGGACTTGCTGAGAAATATATTCTTCAAGGTGAAAACTAATTCTTGGGTAGACTTTACAGTTTACCATGTCATATGGTCCATTGTCAAGATAAGTAGCAATAAGGCGCTCGTATAGTTCTCAAAATTTAGATACGTGTGAATATTATTAGATAAACAACAGATTTCCTCCTCTCGATTCAATATGCAGGTTCAGATTTTGTTTCGTTTCATTTTCTTTTGCATGTTTATTTGTCGAGCAAACTTTGTATTGCCTGCTTGTGCACATCAGCGCTGATGTTCACATCATTTAGTGCCAGGGAAGTGATTTCCGCAACACCCATTTTCTCGCTGTGCAATTTCTTTAATTCCGTTCGATTTATTCATTCTAAAGGCAAGGAAAAAGGAAGGTGCTCAGAAGGAGAAATGGGCGTTTGAAAACCATTTTCCAAAATTTTGTCTCCTTGAAAAGCATTATGCTATTGGACTGCATCTACACTTGTATGCGAATGTCAAAGAAAGTCACAGGGCATCAGTTGCAAATGTTAAGAAAAGCCAATAGAATTCGAAGCAAGCGCAGTGAAGAGGAAACGTTGATCGAATTGGATATCCCTTCGGTCGATCTACTCCCCCGCATCAAATTCCGACCAACAACTTGCAACAACTGTTTATGTACGCTCAACACAAGATACGGAGTGTTGAGCTATCAGAAGGGAGAGACTGTTGAAGCTAACGTTCTCTCTCATTTCTTCAGGAACAAAAAATAAACAACGCTTCAAATAAACAAGTACGCAAATGTATCACTTAGTATTATAGTCTAGTAGTATTCCTCTACACTTATAAATAAGAGAACTTAAGTTTGATTCTTATCAAAAACGAATTTGAACTACATTATTACTAAGACATTGTGAAATTAAGCTCATCCCTCTCTATCAACGTAATAATATCGTTTATTTATATTAAAAAAAAAGAACAAAAAGAACGCAAATCCCTACTTTTACATTGTATACTCCGGGTAACATAGAAAATTCCATATAGACTGGGTAAACAAGTTGGTGCGGATAGCATTGTTGATTAAGTAAAAGAAAGCATATATATATAAATAAGGATAACAAAGTCAAGATACCACGAAAACTCAATTCTACAACTTTCAACAGTTTAAAAACCAATCCATTTTTCAAAATGGAATCACAATCCCTTTTCCGAAACCCAAAAATATAAGAAAATCTAGCCGATTACAAAAGATTCAACACATTGTGATGACCAAAATTTCCTTAATCCCAGGTGGCGGCGGGAGCACCACCTTCAATAATGGGAGGAGTAGCCAGAGCCTGTGCTGGTGGAGCAACCGCATCCCATCCATCTGCTGCTATTGGTGCTGCAAAGCATAAACGGGATGAGTCAGAATAGGTAGACAGGCGAACAACTAAGTTCTAAGGAATTCCAGGTTTCAAGCATAAATATTTCTAACATCCAGCAGAATCCACGAGGAAATGAGCTAACCACAGAAAATGGACCATTTGCATATAGCACGGCAACAATAGCAGTTGGAAGAAAAATAAGCAGCAGAAACAGAGGTACATAATATAAACAACACAAGCGCGACAATTCAGGAACAAAGGTTGAGAGATGAAACCTGCTTCTGCAGTCCATTCAGGAGCTGCTGCAATGGGTGGTGCAGGTGCATCCGTTACCCACTGAGCATCAGATATTGGGGCAGACCAATCACCAACAACAGGTGCAGAAAAATCATTTCCGTACTCAATTGCTGCACCTTCTTCTTCCTTGTCCTTGGCCTCCTCAGGCTCTCTATAGAAGAACAGATCAACCTGCAGCGAGAAATTTGTACGAAGATGAGAAGTTTAGATACAATTCTAAAATTGAGCCATCTAGTCAATTACAAATAATGTACAAAGATTGTTCAGCAGTGGTATCCTATGCTTACCATAACATCCCACTTGTGACCTGGTAGAAGCGAACCACGCATTTGCAAGACCATCCTTGCTAGGAGCCAGAAAAGACATCCAATGCTGTGCTTGCCCTTGTTATTGGCTGGGATGCCAATATCAACATAACGCATTGGAGAATCAGTGTCGCAGAAAGCAATGGTGGGTATGTTTCCAAGAGCAGCTTCCTTAATAGGCTGTGTATACATAAAGAATATTAGAACACACTGAGATAAACAAGCAGAACAGGATTGGGGAAATAAAGAACCACGTAGTATCGCATACAGGATCACAGATAAATTACGATTCAAATTTCATAGCTAATGTTATCATTTTTACTGTTGCAACTGTCTACAAATGAAAATATACAAAAAAAACCAAAAACCACTAGAAATGAAAGAAGATCATAACCTGGCTGTCAGTTCGTGGGTCAGTCAGAATAAGAAGACGGGGCTCATTGAATGATGTCTGAAGCTGATTGGTAAAAGTACCAGGAGTGTGCCTGCCAGCAATTGCATTCGCACCAGTGTGCTGAGCAAATTTCAGCACAGCTCTCTGACCATATGGCCTTGCGGATTGTACAATGATATCCTTTGGGTTTTCAATCGAAACAATCACTCTGGCTGCCAGCTGCAGCTTGTCCCATGTTTTCCCAAGATTTATGATATAGATTCCTGAAAACGGCCAACTCAGTGATTGAGAACTAAATCAGTAGTAGAGGGCCCTGTTCCTCTAACAAACCAACAGCTAAAAATTGACATAGAATAGCGCATATGCACTTCGCAACTAACTCATCGCCACACAACACAAATTATACAGTTGCAGGCTCATGCAGATTTAGAACAAACCGGTGCAATACAAAATAAAAAGGTACCCTTTACAGCAACGAATCGATATAACACAGACATTTCATTTTCTAAAATCAACTAACACATGAAGCTGCTTAAATAGGGAAACGTGTGAATTTTAATTCAAAGGAAAATAACAACAAAATATACCAACAAGAACAAATAACACTAAAGCTATAGTAGTGTACACCAGATCTAGCAAACACATATAAACATACACACACACATAAACCCAGTATACCAAACAATGCTGTCGATCATTTCAGCTAAAATTAGAAGGAACCCACCATTTAAAACACCATAAAACCAAGAAAAACATAATAAAAAATCTGAAATTTCATATTATATTACCAAAAAATTAAGCATAAAAAATAAGTAAATCTGAGGAAGATTAAGGAGGAAATATGATGCATACCATCGTTGCGTCTCTTGAAAACGTATCTTTCCATCTGAAAGTCGCAGTTTTTGGTGCCCAGATGGACCTCGGCGGCCAACATCATCTGAATGTCAGCCTCCTTCTGAGAGAGCTGACGCGGTGCTGCGGCGGTGGTAGCCATCGTCTAGACTTCGACAGAGAGAGAGGGAGATGAGCTTCTGAAAACCCTAAATTGCCTCCGGCGGGTTTTGTGTGCGAGAGTGAGACAAAGCTGCAAGAGTGGGAAGCGGCGAGTTTGTTCGCTATATCTACGGGACGATGGGAGTGAAAAACCCTAGGAGGACGATTAAGATTTCTTCTGTAATATTTCAGCCGTTGGATTATACCAAAGGCTAGGATTTGTAAAAGTCAATGATCCACCGGTTTAGAGTTTTTCACTTCGTTTTGCCTTTTTTTTTTTTTTTTTTTTTTTTTTTTTGTAATACTTATTTTTAGCTATGACTCTAAAATTCGATTTCAAGCTCACTTTGTTTCATGTAACTTAAAAGTCGCTATTTTACGCCTTACTCAAAAATCACTACTTTGCTTTCTAATACTATTTTTTAGTTACATCCCCGAGAGCCCAACAAGCACCTAATACGAACGTGAAACACAATTTTTTTTTTTTAGTACATCGATATTTTTACACTAAGAGGAGAGGAAGTTCGGATAAACCACACAATAGACAACCTAATTTGATATCAAATTTTTCATCTACGAGATTCGAACCTAAAACATCTCATTTCCAAATGAAAAGAAATACCAGACCATGAGAAAAGAGCAAAAAAAAAAAAAAAGAACATGAATACACACGAGCAGTACACCTCTGGTTACCATCAAATTCAGTATAGGCCCACAATGGCCTAGCCCATCAGATTGTGGTCCACTTTTAAATTTACCCGGATCCAAATCCAAAACCCATTTTCTTAAACCCTACAACTATCCCCAACCCTTCGTCTGTATTTCTGGTAAAGCTTCATTCCATAGCCAACAATGGCGGATTCAAAATCAAAGAAATCCGCAAGCAACCCAGAAGACATAGAGCACCTCCGGTCCGACGTAGCCTCCTTCGCTTCCTCTCTCGGCCTCGCCTCCTCTCTCCCTTCCTCCGGCTTCAATGATGTCGATTTTCGCAATCCCGGTCCCAAAAAACCCCACAAGAAGTCCAAACCAGCTCCAATCCAGAACCCCACCAAAACCCAGAAGCCAAACAAGCCGAATTTCAAGCCCAATGAAAACCAGAAGCCGAAACTCACACTTTCTTCACTGGAAGAAAACAGCAACAAGGACAAAGCGAGGAACTTTGAGAAGTTCAAGAACCTCCCGAAGCTGCCATTGATGTCGGCAAACAACTTGGGAGTGTGGTATGAGGAAGCTGAGGAGTTGGAGGGTAAAGTGCTTGCGAGTGGGAAGAAAGTGGAGGTGAAGAATGCGGCGGAATGGAATAGTGTGGTGGCAAAGAAGAGAGAGCTTGGAGAGAGGTTAATGGCGCAGTACGTAGCGGACTACGAGTCTTCGAAAGGGAAGAGTGGGGATATCAAGCTGTTGCTTACTACGCAAAGGTCAGGGACTGCTTCTGATAAGATATCGGCGTTTTCGGTGTTGGTTGGGGATAATCCCATTGCCAATATGAGGTCCCTTGATGCACTTATAGGTAATATTTCATTTTGTAGTTAGTCATTTGTATTTGAAAAAAAAAAAAAAAAAAAGAGGATGAAGGTTATTTACTGCGTAAATGTTTTGAATTGTGTTTTTGTTAATATATGCGGGAACACAATGTTGAATCTTTGAATTGTAGATTGTTCCTTCCGTGACTGTTTGTTTCAGCAAGAAAAGAATTGCTAATAATGAATTCTTCCGGTTATTCTACCTAGATTACATTTGATCTGAGGCTAATTTACTAGAATCCATTTAGAGTATCTTAATTTGATTCATATCAAATTGTCAATCTGACAAATTGCTTCGGTTTTGTTGGAAGCCGCGTCTGGATTCAATCTTTCTATTTGACCTTGATTGTCCTTTTT